CTCCCTCCCTCCCATTCTCCCTTTCTTTCTTTCTTTTTTTCTTTCTTTCTTTTCTTCTTTCTTTCTTTCTCTCTATCTTGGCGTGGGTGTCTTGCAAGTCTCCTGATACAAACGAGATTTCGAAACAGTCTGAATGTATCTGGTCCAGTTACAGCCCCGGAAATGTTTAGGGAAAAGTCATAAAACCTCAGGGCGACGAGACCCTTCTATCCATTTCCCCCAAACAAGAAAAAAAAGTGCTACAGGTCCCAAAATCACTTCTGTGGCCTCGGCCCACATGCAAAATCACTTCTCTGGCCTCGGCCCACATGCAGCGGCGTAGTATAGTTTTCTGCTACCTGTGAGACTGTGGGATCGCTGTGAACCGTTGATCATCTGACAATCATCTGACAAACGGACGGTAGGATTACACAACCCGTCCTTTTGGAAGGGGAGCCAGCAGCCTACTGTTTTGTGATTGGTTGTGGTGTCATGTTGGGGTCACGTTGGGGATGGCAGGGGCTAGGTCCCACCTGCACGAATTAAGAGATACTGACCGTAGATAGCAAAGAACAAGGGCCGAAGTCTTCTCATTTGCGCGAGTGGCACGGGCGTTGTAGTTTCCTACGAGTTTTTTTTCAGATAGTAAACGACAGGGGGATTTTCCTCTTTAGTGAATGCAGGGGGAAGGTAAGGCAAGGTTTGGTTTGTCGGAGACATGTCTAGGGCCCCAAGGATCTAGTCTTTCTAATAGGAGGAATAGGATGTGGCACACCCATGAACTGTTGAAAGGAAGACCTGAGTTCGATTCCTAATGGCACTAGATGAATGAAATCAAATAAGAAGATTATCCAACCTTCTTTTCCCGCCTTTTGGCGTCACACAGTTGTAGAAAACTGAACTACACGGGGGCCTTGTCCCACAAGCAAAGAGGATTGGATTTAATTTCGGAATTGGGATGCGTTTTGTGGAGAGATGCAGAAAAGCAGATTAATCAGAACTTTCTGGATCTCTTGGCAAATACGTCCTGATTCAGGAATAAAATCCAATCCTTTTTGCTAATGGGACCAGGCCCCGGGGTGGTGTCATTTTTGCACCTTGGCTGAGCCGATAACGGCCGCTGGGTAAAAGTGGCTGGAAAGTGATTTGCAGGGTGCAAATAACGGCCGCTGTGTAAAAGTGGCGGGAAAGTGTTTTGCAGAGTGGCGGGAAAGTGTTTTGCAGGGTGGAAATAACGGCCGCTGTGTAAAAGTGGCAGGAAAGTCTTTTGCAGGGTGCAAATAACGGCCGCTGCGTAAAAGTGGCGGAAAAGTGTTTTGCAGGGTGCAAAAATGAAGCCGAAAAATGGATACAAATGAAGCCGAAAAATGGATACAAAGGTTTCGTCGCCCCGAGGTTTTACGACTTTTTTGCATACATTTAGACTGTTTCAAAGTTGAATGCATAGGGACGTATACGAGGCCCGGATGCAAACACCAGGGGCCTCGGCCCACATGCAGCGTGTAATGTAGTCTGTGCGCAGGGTGTGACAGGCCGTAGCCCTCCAGAGGCCACAGATCTGAAGGCTTCCGGCGAAGATGCTTTTTTAAGAAATGGTAAGCCTCTTCCATTGACACTTGTCACTTTCCCATTTGTTTTCCGCCAGGAGGAAAGGCAGCGTTTGTGATGCGGCCGTGTAGTTAGCCACCTTCTGAAAAGCAGGGAGGCTAGCTACACAGCGGGGTCCGGTCCGAAGGACTGAAAAGTTATGAAAAAGGCGAGAAATAGGGCATGGGGGCAATCGTGGGTCCAGGCCGCAGATCCGTGAATCTGTCAGTCTCAGTAGTGCAGACAAGATCGCCCATACTGAGGCTGAAGAACACTATTCATTCTCCCCTGCCTCTGGTATGTGGAGTAAGAACCTCAGAAACTGTAGTGAGGCATGTGGGATCTCTCAGTCTCCGAATGTGCAAAAAGATACTGACTCTTCGGCTGGAACATGAACAGATACATTGCCTTCTTTTTTGTCTTCTCTGCATGTGGAGAGTAGTGCAGGGAGGCCGAAAGTGCAGGGATCACAAAGGCGAGAGTTTGAATCCGCCTTTGCAGAAAAGCTCATGTTTTTTTGTTTTTGTTTCCGGAGACTTACAGTCAGATTCTCACCTACTTGGGGTTCGAATCACTGCTCAGGAAATGCCTCTGGGCCGAGTGTGGGGATTTTCGTTTCTCCATGGGCTGGCCCTTTCTTTGGCCTGCGGAGATCAAAGGCAGCACTCTATATGGCCTCCTACGAAGATCGGCCGCACCCTCATTTGCTGCACGATTTTTACAACGATGGGACTACCGTGACACATGGCACGGTGCAATGGCACGGACAATATTGCGGATGTACGTTTTCCGCTCTCGGCTGTCACACCGTGTAGTGTTCAGGCACTACAGGGTGCATGTGGGCTGAGGCCCGGGGGGTGCGGTGCCGGGGAGCGGGGAGGGAGGGAGGGAGGGAGGG